GGGGTGGCCGCCGGCTCCGCAGCCTCCGCAGCAGGGCGGCGGGCCGCGGGCGGCACTCTGGGGACCGGCCAGCTGGGAGAGGATGATGATGATGCTGATGCTGCTGCTGATGATGCTGCTGCTGATGATGCTGCTGCTGATGATGATGATGAGGATGCGGATGAGGATGATGATGCTGAGGATGAGGACGAGGATGAGGATGAGGATGCTAATGATGGTGTTGATAACAATGATGATAATGACGAGGACGATGGCCATGACAATGATGATGATGATGATGATGATGATGATGCTGATGGTGATGCTGCTGCTGATGGTGATGAGGATGATGCTGATAATGATGAAGATGCTGCTGCTAATGATGATGATGCTGTTGATGATGATGATGATGGTGAAGGTGACGATGATGATGCTGATGATGCTGGCTGATGGTGATGATGATGCTGCTGCTGATGATGATGATGCGGATGGTGATGATGATGACCACGATGATGATGAAGATGATGATGCTGATTACGATGATGATGCTGCTGATGATGAGGATGATGATGATGATGCCGATGATGACGGTGATGATGATGATGATGATGATGATGATGGTTGTGATGATAATGCTGATGCAAATGATGATGATGACGATGATGATGAGGAATATGAACATAACGGTAATGACGATGATGCTGATGATGATGCTGATGCTACTCATGATGATGATGATGACGATGCTGATTCAGATGACGATTACGTGCTGCTGCTGATGTCGATGATGATGCTGCTGCTGCTGATGATGATGCCGATGCTGCTGATGATGCTGATGATGCTGATGACGATGATACTGATGCTGATGATGGCGACTATGCTGATTATGATGATGATGCTGATGATGATTCGGATGACGATGCTACTGCTGATGCTGATGCTGCTGCTGATGATGATGATGATGGCAATGAAGATGCTGATTATGATGATGATGATGCTGATGATGACGATGGTGGTGGTGGTGATGATGATGCTGCTGCTGCTGATGATGATGCTGATGGTGGTGATGATGATGATGATGATGATGCGGATGATGATGCTGGTGATGGTGATGATGATGATGATGCTGATGATGATGATGATGATGATGATGATGATGATGATGCTGATGCTGATGATGATGATGATGATGATGCTGCTGATGGTGATGGTGATGCTGCTGCTGATGATGATGCTGATGCTGCTGACGATGATTATGTGATGATGCTGATGCTGCTGATGATGATGATGAGGATGATGATGAGGATGATGATGAGGATGATGATGAGGATGAGGATGAGGAGGAGGAGGCGGAGGAACAGGAGGATGAGGATGAGGATGAGGATGAGGATGATGAGGCGGATTATGATGATGCTGCTGCTGATGATGATGAGGAGGAGAAGGAGGTGGAGGAGGATGAGGTGGAGGAGGAGGAGGCGGAGGAGGAGGAGGAGGCGGCGGCAGCGGAGGAGGAAGAGGGGGAGGAGGAAGAGGGGGAGGAGCACAGAGGGGAAATGGTTCAGGTGTTGGTTTGGAGGGGTTTGGGGCTGTGCAAGTGCCCTGTGGTCAGTTCGGCCTTCCCCGAAAAGAGATCAGTTTGGACGCATGGTGAGGTACGGGGACGGAGGCCAAGAGCAGTGTCGGCTTTCATGCGAGGGCGACGAGGAGTGGCCTTCGGACCATCCCTCCATCGCGCTTGGGTCGTGTTCCAGACGCCACAGGGGACATTTTGGGAGGCTCCTGGGGGGCTTCTTAGGGAGTTTCTGAGGGGGGGTGACGCCCATTTATGTGCGTCTTGGGGGCTCTCGGGGCCGTCTTGGGGGTCTCTCTTGGGCCCTCTTGGGCTTGTCTGGGGGGCCTCTTGGGCTGTCTCGCAAGCACTTACGACCGATGCTTTGGGAATGGCGAAGTAGCATCGGACCTCCTGGACGGGGGTTCCCCAGGGCCTCGTAGACGGCCTGCCAGATTCCCAAGAGTACGGAAGCTGGCTGAGGCTAGTGGCCCAAACAGGTCAAGTGGGCTCCAGGATCACCTGAGTCACTTCAGGGAGGGTTGGGGCGTGCGGATGGTGCCCCCAGGACCCTCCCTGGACCCCCGCGTCACTCCCCTACCCCACGGGGGCAACGACAGGGCGGGATAGGCATAGTGGGGGATGCATCGACCCCCAATCGCCCATCGATCGCCGATAGGGGTCTGATAGCCCTAAACCGCCCAGGAAGCAGCTGATTCACTGTCGGGGGCCTATCGCCGATCCATCGGCGATGTATCGCCGATTCCAGGTCGATGTGCCCCCCCTATGCCAGCCCCCCCCCATCGTTGCCCCCCCACCCCACCCTCCGGGGCTGGAGTCAAAGGGAAGGGGCATCTCTTCGGCTCCACTGCGACCTGGGCCGATTCGCCTCCTGGCCAGCGGGCGCGGAGACCCCCCCCTGGAGGGGCCGCAGGCAGCTGGGGGAGGAGAGAGCTCTCCGCACAGCAGAACACAGCGTCTCCCGGGGACCAGCCCGGGACGCCCGCCCCAGGATTCTCCCCTCCACCTGCGCCGGCGGGGTGGGCGGCTTTGGTGTGTCCCAGGCGACCGTGGGATGTCCTTGCGTGTGGGGGGGAGGTGGGGTGGGAGGGGTTGGAGGAGGGTCTTATGCGATTTCGAGGGTGTTTTTTTTGTTCTCGAGTGTTCTAGTGTGTGTGTGTGTGTGTGTGTCAGGCGTTTTTTTGGGCCCTCTGCAGCCACCGCTGCCTCCTCGTCTGCCTCGTCCTGCTCCTCGTCCCTCCTCTGCCTTCTCCTGCTCCTCCTCCAATGCCGCCTCGTCCGCAAACGTGATCGCGGTACCCTGGGGTGCCTGCATCGTCACCTTCTGAATTTCACCAATTGCCGTCTACATCCCGAGATCACCAGCTGTCGTTCATACGTACCAGTGTACCAGGTTACTATATATATATATATATGTATGGTATCAGTCTTATGTTCTCTTTTCTTCTTTAGCACTTCTGCATTGTACAGCACGAAGACCGACAACGCAGCGAGCATGTGGCGGACCGTGTTGCGCCCCTCCGTCTCGCCTTGGTGCCGTAACTCATCCAGCTTGAAACACAGGGATCATGAGATTCGGTACCCTCTCCTGGCCTCTTCTTCCCGTCGGGGGAAAGATAATGGTGGAATACGGGGACTCAGTGCGTACACAGTGGGTTCCCGTCTGGGGAAAGATAATGGTGGAATACGGGGACTCAGTGCGTACACAGTGGGTCAGGTCGTTATGTTGTATACATACTGAGAGAAGGTTGCATTGGCATTTCACGCCATGCACCTTGGTCCTTGTAGCTGGGCATGAACGCGGAAGGGCAGGAAGGTACAACAGAGCAATTAACAATACCTCCTTGTTGCATTCCCAGCATCGTCGTTATGATAACATCATTCATTATTCTTCCCTCATGCTTCCTCTTTCTCTTCCTCATTCTCGCCCTGCCCTGCGTTTTCTGTCCATCCTCCTGAGTTCTTTTTGTGGAGACTCCTCCTTTGAGAGCTTCTTGGTGACCTCGCGAAAGTTTTGAAGGTCCTCTTGGGGCCTTGTGGCGGCCTCCTGGGCGCCTTCTGGGAGCCTCTGGTGGCTTCCTCGGTCTACCCTGCTTCCAACCGCGGTCTCCCTGAACGACGGGGTCGCGATTTGGAATGCTTCGGGGGGCGTCTGGGGCCACCTTGGGCCGTCATTGGGGCTCTCTTCGGGCCGTCCTGGGGCCCTGCTGGGCCGTCCTGGGGCTCTCTTGGGCTGCCTGGAAGCCCGTCTGGGTAGCCGTGGGGCGATTTTCGGGCTTCCTGGGCGGCCTCGGACGCCCGGGAAGACAGGGGACAGAATACTCCCCAGATTTGTGCAGCAACCATCGGAGGTCATCATTTTTTCCGTCTCGGAGGCCTCTTGGGGGTCTTCTTTGGGTTGTCTTCAGGCGCTTGGTGGCGCTTGGTGGGTGTCTGGGGCCTCTTTGGGCCCTCGCCGGGCCGTTCGGCCGCCCTGCTGACGGATTTGGGCACGTTGCGTAGGCCCGCAGGGGCTACCAGGAACCCTGGAAAACTTGGGGGACCTACCGTCCAGGTAGCCCCAAAGGGACCTGGATCTTGGAGGGCATGCTTTTTTTCGGGGTGGGGTGGGGGCGCACCCCCGCAGGGATTGCAAACATATAGGCAAGGGTATATCTATATGTTTTTGTGTCCTGTTTTTTCAGGCGCTACGGCCCTTCCCGTCATGCCCAAATGAGCGCGGCTTTACCCGCTGTACGGCTGGATGGGCGATCGCTTGCTATTTCTTCTCCTCTGCTGGAGGAGACGCGAGGCCACCACCAGCGGGCCATCTGCAGCGTGGATGTCCACGATGCCTTCCTGAGCTGGAGGGTGGGGATGTCGCGAGCGGGGGCGCCGCAGAACAGGGGGACCGCACCAACATTAGAGCCCTCCCTTGGTGCCGGATTGATTTGCTCCCACTCTCCCTGCCCCATGGTGTGAGCGGCGAATCAGGCTATTTGTGGTTTCGGTCGCCTGAAGAATGGCCTTCGCCAGCTCGGCAAAGCATCGGCGTGACCAGGGGGGTTCGCTTCAATCTTATTTAGTTTTGGGGACGCCCGCACGCTTTACCAACAGCGGCCATCATGATGTCGACGAGGGAATGGTGGTGAGCATGTCTATGGCGATGACGCTGTTCAGGATTAAAGAGGATACTGTATGTATGAACAACTAAAGCGAGGACGACTGTGAGGATGGCGACAACGATGGCAACCATAGACGAGTGTTGGGAGGAGGACGAGGAGGAGGGGGAGAAGGAAACGAGGATGCGGCTGCTGCTGATGCTGCTGCTGATGATGATGACGATGATGCTGATGATGGTGACGACGGTGATGATGGTCTTGATGGTGATGATGACGATGAAGATGATGAAGATGATGAAGCTGATGATGCTGATGATGGCGATGATGCTGATGCTTTGTTGATTATGAGGGTGATGAAGGTTAACATGATGATGATGATGATGATGATGATGATGATGATCATGATGATGCTGATGCTGCTGATGATGATCATGATGCTGATGCTGATGCTGATGCTGATGATGATAGTGATGATGATGATAGTGATGATGATGATGATGATGATGATGATGATGATGATGATGATGATGATGGTGATGGTGATGGTGATGTTGACGGTGAGGAGGCGGAAGAGGAGGTTGAGGCGGCCAAGTTTGTGAGGCGGAAAAGTACGACGCGACGGAAGAGCGGAGGAGTGCGCTGGAGATTGGCCAGTACATTTTGGCGGCCCCGTCCAGCGTGTCAAAAGGGCCCACGGCCGATCAAAAGGCTCTGTCGGATTGTCTCATCGGGAGCCAGGGTCGCAGGTAAGTCAGCCTCTCTAACCTGTCCTCTTCTTCCCCGCCCTCATCGCTCTGGCCCCGCGCCTCTGCTGCGTCGCTGCGAGTGGTACGGGCCAGGAGTGCCACGAGGGGTGGAGGAGTACCCGCACACCGACGTTCGTTCCCTCTCATGCGACGTCGCGTTTTGTGTGACACGACCCGCCCCAGGTACCTGGGCCTCTTCCCCAGGGTTGGTTTCTCATCCTGAATCGTTTTCGATAATCCCGCGGCAGGGAATCGTCTTCCAGTAGCCGAAAAGGAGCAACAACCTGCCGTCGCGAGTTGTGCGCGTCGGTCCTTAGTAAGGAATCGTTCGTAAGTATTCTTTTACACAGAAATCTTTATGATGGCTCCTTAGTCCAGAATCATGAACTAGGGTAGTCCAGGATTTCTCCCTGAGGAATTCTTGCAACATGAATCCTTACTGATTCCTTGGTACAGGACCCTCTGCCTGCATCTGAGGACTTGTTCCCCCTCTGCGCAGCGGCACCATCCCCCTTGTCTTAAGTCGGGCCTGTCCCATCTACAGGAGGAAAATTCAAGAATAGTCAGGGGACGATTATTTGAGCATTTTTGAGCATTTGTGGGGTATATTTTGACTATGTTTTACTTCTCGTCCAAAATCGGCCTGTAGGAGGACACGCCCGACCTAACCCTTGTGCCTGCTGCCCTCCCTCCGCGGTGGGACGCTGCTGGCCAGGACCGCCAAGAGAGCCCCGCCGACGGGGGAGGCACTCGCAGCCCCGACGAGGAGGCGACGCCGGCGCACCTCCTCGGCAGCACGACGACGACCACCATCGTCGGGGGTACCTTGATATCCTCCCGCTATGATTAAGTTGGGCCCGTCCCTCTACAGGAGGAATATTCAAAAATAGTCAACAAGTAGACTGGGACGATTTTGGTAGTATTGTTTGACAATTTTTGATTTTCTTTTGGGTATTTTTGTTTTTTCGTCCAGCATCCCCATGTAGCGGGACATGGGGCCTCGCCAGGCCCCATGACCGTCAAGCCACGACTCGGGATGAAGAGCTGGTCCTGGGGAAGGAGGCCAGACCTCTGGAGAGCCACGCTGTGAACTTGCACGAGACGTACCCAACCCCTTCTCCTCTTGAGGCGACCATTCACATTAACGATCTATGTACAAGGACACATGGCGAGATGTGCCGCACTCTGAAATGCTTCTCCAAGCAATGTCGGGCCATGCGCGTGGTACACCGCCGCAACTCAGATCGGAAGAGGGATGGTGGCGACGACAATCACGACAAGAAACATAGGGTTCAGAGGAGAAAGAGGGGGGAGGACGACAATGAGGATGGAGACGGAAGGGCAAGCAGAACTATTGTAGAGAGTAACAGTGCCGTTCGCCACATCTGCTCGGTTCTGCCCTGCTGCGGCTGCTGCTGCTGCTGCTGCTGCTGCGGGCGATAGGCACCTGAGGAGGAGGGGTAAATTAGGCCACTGAGGACAGCGCCGTACGCTACGTGACGCCGCTCTGGCGCTCTGCGCTCTTCGATGCAACAGCGCCGCGCGGTAAACGACGTGACGGCGCCACGTGCTATGTGGGCACGCGCCACGCGGGCACCCTGCACTCCGCCGTGCCTTCCATGAGCCCACGAAAGTGGTTACAGTGTAGTCGCGCAGCTCGCACTCCCCGAGGGAACCGTGAGGTTTCGAATCATCCGCGTTGCCCTGCATTCCTCCGTGCCTCCCAGGAGCCTACGAATGCGGCGACAGTTGCTCACTTCGCAGCCCCCGAGGGAGCCGCGAGGTCTCAAAATGATCGCGCTGCCCTGCACTCCGCCGTGCCCAGGTGCCCACGAAAGTTTCGATGTTGTGCGATTCGCAGCCTCCGAGGGAAACGCGCGATGTTTCAAAATTGTCCGCGCTGCCTCCCAGGAGCCCGAGAAAGTGACGACAGTTGAGCAGCTCGCAGCCCCCGAAGGAGCTGCGAGGTCTCAAGGGGGTCCCCGCTGCCATCACTTCGGCCGTGCCAGCCAGGAGCCCACGAATCGTGAGATAGTTACGCAGTTCGCAGCCCCCGACGGAGCCGCGAGTGTTCAAACTGATCTGCGCTGCCCTCACCTCCGCCGTGCCTCCCAGGAGCCCACGGAAAAAAGGCGACAGTTGCGCAGTTAGCATCCCCCAAAGGAACAGCAAGGTCTCAAATGATCAGCGTTACCCTCGCCTCCGCCGTGCCTCCCAGGGGCCCAGGAACATGGCAACCGTTGCGCAGTTCGCAGCAGCCCCCAAGAGGACGCACAATATGCAGGAGAACGAACAATATGCAGCAAGATGCAGGCGGAGGAGGGGCTGGGGAAGGAAACGCGCAAGTACTGCTTTATCTTACACGAGAAGCCAACACAGGTGGGTGTGGACACATCACGACGGAGGATGTCTAGGTGGGGGGTTCTCCCAAGGTAAACGAATCCAACCGAATGCTCGCATTTCCTTGTTCCAGGCGCCGTCCAGAGCGATTTCTCTCCAGTCTCGCCTCTGCCCCTGCCCCACCTTTACGTCCCCCGGCACTGACGACCTTACGACGACGGTGACGGTGGTGATGACGGCGAGGACGATGGCGATGGTTGCGATTGTCATGGGGATGGTGAAGCGATGCGGCGATGCTGAAGGCAGCTGTACATGTGGATGACGGCGATCGTGATGATGATGCTGCTGCTGATGATGATGATGCAGATAGTGCTGATGATGATTGGGATGCTGATGATGCAGATGATTCTGACTATGATGATTGTGATGATGCTGATGATGATGCTGGTAGTGAAGATGATAATGACGCTGATGACGATGCTGATAGTGATGCTGCTGATGATGCTGATGCTGATGCTGATGCTGACGCTGATGAGGATGATGGTGCTGATGATGATGATGGTGATGGTGATGGTAATGGTGATGGTGATGGTGATGGTGGTGGTGCTGATGCTGATAATGCTGATGGTGCTGATGATGATACTGCTTTGGACGATGGTGATGATGACGATGATGATGCTGATGACGATGATGATGATGTGGATGGTGTTGCTGCTGATGCTGATGATGATGATTGTGGTGGTGGTGGTGATGGTGGTGACGATGATGATGCTGATGCTGCTGATGATGATGTTGATTCTGATGCGGATGATGATGATGATGATGGTGATGGTGATGGGGATGGTGATGATGATGATGACGATGACGATGATTACGAAGATGATGATGATGATGATGATGATGATGATGATGATGCTGATGCTGATGCTGATGCTGATGATGCGGACGATGCTGCTGACAATCATGATGCTGCTGATGATGACGATACTGATGACGATCATGATTATGATGCTGATGATGGTAACGATCATGTTGCTGCTGATGATGATGATGTGTATGATGCTGAAGATGCTGAAGATGCTGAAGATGCTGACTATGATGATGCTGATGATGCTGATGATGATGATTAGGATGTTAATCATGACGATGATGCCGATAATGCAGCTGCTGATGATGATGCCGATGATGCTGATGATACTGATTCTGATCATGATGATGATGCTGAGACTGAGGATTACGATGATGATGACGATGACAATACTTTTGAGGATGATGATGATGATGGTGATGCTGATTATGATGATGATGCTGATGCTGATGATGGTGGTGCTGATGATGATGATGACGATGTTGCTGCTGATGATGATGACGATGTTGCTGATGATGATGGTGGTCATGATGATGATGATGATGATGAGGATGCTGATGATGCTGCTGCTGCTGCGGAGGATGATGATGATGATGATGATGATGATGATGATGATGCTGACCATGATGAGGATGCTGATGCTGCTGATGATGGTGATGATTCTGATGATGATGACGACGTCGATGATGTTGCTGATGATGATGACGACGATGATGATGCTGCTGATGATGATGATGACGACGATGATGATGATGATGATGATGATGATGATGATGATGATGATGATGATGATGATGATCATGATGATGATGATGATGATGATGATGATGATGATGGTGGTGGTGGTGATGATGATGATTAAATTAGTGATGAGGACGACGACGACGATAGTAATTTGTAGTCAGGTAAGAACCATCATTATTATGTCGGAACTTTCGACGTTGATGCCGCCATCACCGCAGCCAGGAACGGGACGAGTAGGTGTGGGCAGTAGGGAGTGGCAGTTCCAACCCCCTCAGGGGGCTTCTGGAAGGTTTACGGGGTTCCCCTCCCCCCCCAGACCTCCCTAGAACCCCCTTCAGGGGATTTTTTGGGTGTTCACGAAGGCGCCTCCCTTCCCAGACCCTCCCAAAACCTCCCCTTGAATGTAATGTAATGTAATGTAATGTAATGTACTGTAATGTACTGTAATGTATTGTAATGTACTGTACTGTACTGTAACGCAATGTAAGGTACTGCATGCATGCATGTATGTATGTATGGATTATGCATGCATGTATGCATACATAAGTTCTGCACGTGGGTATGCATAGGTATGAACACACATATGCATGTAGATGTGCGCGTATAATTTCAGTTATGTAGGTTTATGTGTATACACATACATATTTGCATATGTGCGTACATGCATACTTGTATATATATATATATATGCATACATGCACACGTGTTTTCTGGGTTCACAGGTGGGGGGGGTCTTCTCCCGGAGCACCCCATCCCTCCCGCTCAGTGTTTTTTTTGTTTGAGAGGTTTAGGTGGGTTCTTCCCCTAACAGGCAAATCTCAGAGTTTTTCGCCCTCATAGTTTTTGGGGTTAAGGGGGGTACCCCCCTGGGCTCTTCCAGAAACTCCTCAGCAGATTTTTGGTGGGGCTTCGAGTTGTCCCCCCCTCTGCCTGAGGCCTCGCCTGCCTTAGGTAATTCGTCTTTGCGCGGCCCGCTCTGACTCGACTCGCCGTTTGCGCTTTCGCTTGCGGCTGCTGACTAAAATAGTTGGCCCCCCCTCGGGATCGCCCAACAACACCCCTCGGGAAGGTTTTTTTGGGGGGTCAGGTTTTTTTCCCCACGACCCCCCCAAAGCCTGGGCGCCCTCTGCCTCCGAACGCCTCGGGTACGCTTGGCGAGGGGCTTCCTCTGGCAGCGGGTGGCGCACGACAGAGGGGCACGTTTTGGTACCAAGGGAGCTTTTCCAGTCAGCCTGGGGATGGGGCTCCCCTAGCAGCGGGCGGTGCACAGCAGAGGGGCACGTCTTGTACCAAGGAGGCTTTTTCAATCAGCAGAGGTTTTTTCGGGGGTTAGGGAGGTTTGCACGGGAGGTTCTAGGCCCCCGAACGCCCTCGGAGGGGTTTGGGGGTTAATGGGGGTTTCGGGGGAGGCTTGCAGAGGCTCCTGGAAGCTCCCGGAAGCTTTTAGAGGCACCCAGAAGCTTTGGAAGGCTTCCGGGAGCCTGCAGAGGTTCCCCGAAGCGGTCGAAGGCCCCCGGAGGCCCCTGGAGGCTTTCGATTGCTCATCGGAGGCTTTGAAGCCTTCGAAGGCTCTTTGAGACATCCGGAGGCTTTCTCGGACCCCCCAGGCGCTTTCGGAGTGCAGGCCCTCGGAGCAACCCTCCCGAGGCTCTCGGGCCCTCGGGGGCACTGCGGAGTCTGCTGCCCGCAACTGGTCTCGGCGCCGCACCGGAGCTCCAGAGCCCCTTGAAGAGCGCCATCGGAGCCGTCCCGCGCGAGAAGCCCCATCGAACGCCTCCAGTCCGCCGACGATCGGGTCGGGCGATCCTCGGCGGGGC